TCAAACACTAATTTATTCTAAATTTCATTACTGTTTACTATTATTACAATAAATGAATTGAAATTTAATCATTCAATTAAAATAACTAACAAAACAAATTCAATAATCAATTAAATGGCAAATAAATCGTTATTACAATCAAAACTAATAAACTCCAGACTCGTGTCTGTCGGCCAAAACATCCCATTATCTGTTATTTGCCATCTTTTTGCAACTTCTGGAGCTTCTGGATCTCCTTCTCGTGGTCTTTGATGAGCTTCTCGAGCCGTTCCTTCTCTCCATCCAAACCGGCCTTCAATTTCTCCAACTGTTCCTTCTGTTGGCGGCGGAAGAACTCCTCTTCGCGGGCGGCCTCTTGTTTGCCGAACGCACCGCCGGCGTCGCGAATGGATCCGCCCGACCCTCCGCCCTATCATCGGTGGTCACACAACCAATACAGAGAGACAATCAATTATAAACACCATAATCACAGACACAGACCGGGATCTATCATTGCATAACACAATCAGGTGCACCATTAGTGTACACACAATCCGGTACTCGCGCTCTCATGTATAGTGTATACCGATATATAATCAACAAAACAAAAAACACTATACATATTAGAAACCCGGGGCTTAACCCCCAAAACTTTAGGTAATACACACACCTGAGGGGTATGTGTGCCCATTGGGTACCTCCCAGTGGCGCCTATACCTGGCGTATGTCAACAATCATTTACATATAGTGTACACAAAGAGTTACATCGATTATATGGGCGCATAATTCACTATACAATTGACCGCATAAGGCCGAGACAGGGAGAGCACCGGGTGGTGTCGCACGGGTGGGCGCGGGTGAGGCATACCTTTCCGGCCCCACTGCCAAATCCTCCGTCGGACATACACCTGACGGGTCTGTAACAAAAACAAATACATTATACACACAATACACGTATATATAAACCAAACAAGTTTTGGTTCACTATATCGGGAGTTCACTAACAAAACAATACAAAACATAAACTTTACGATTACTTACAGATTAGTTGTGTTGGCAAACAAACGGCTCAATTGGCGTACGGCTTGTGTGGCTTTCAAACCCATTGCGATAATTGTCTGTCAAAACAATTAAATGTATAATTAATTAATTAAATACTGAATTAAAACTCACTTTTAATTCACGTTTCAATTATTTGTTTACGATTTCAGTGCAGAAAAAATGTGATGAAAGTCTATCGTAAACGAAAGAGAGAGAAGCTATTCATAAACAACGTAACCGACAACAAAACAACCATAACTTATGGTCCATAACATAAACGGGAGGTTATATTAAAATATCAAATATAAGGGGGAGGGGGTGTCGGAATTGAATGAAGAGAATTGAATGATATAGCCAAAATAAATTCAGTATAAACATGATTAAACAAAAAAATCAAATACAACGGGAGCGACAATCTTAGTTATGATTACGGTATTTATGAACACATTATGCAATGCAAACGCAGTGCACAAAAACACACACAACACCAGAGGGTCTGGTTGTCAATCAATTTGTGTAGACATTATAATCGCATTGAACGCATGAAATATCAACAATATTAATGGCTAAACTCATATGCACTGTACAAAACAGCAACAGCCAAGGTCATTTGTTCGCAAAGGGGGTGGCATTTAAGGGGGCAGTAAATGGGAGCGCAATCATAAGGGGGAGTGAAATAGACTGATCATATGCTTTTAAGCTTGCAATAAATAACGTTAATTTATTATAATTATATGCTTAATACAAACAGTATAAAAGGGTACTATATTTACTGATATAAACGTAACGTTATTTATGGGCAAATGTTATGTCATATTTAGGGGGAGTTGTATTGACTCAATAGTATTGAGTGTTTAAAGTGTTTTGATTTGTGTTTTGAATGTGAAAATCAAACGCAAAGTTTGTGTCGATTTTTCTCTCAATGAAACTCAACGTTAAATGAATTGTCAGTTGTTTTGTAATTGTGATTAAAAAAGTGATTAATTAAGTTTAGTTATAAATTGTTTGTTAATTAAATCAACCAAGGTAACACACGCATCGTGTGTGATTGCACCGTGGTATATTTGTTTTATTTATTTAGTCAACTTGTTTACAACAAAATTATTACCAAAACAAAAAACTGTTATTATTTTGACAATTAATTAATTGTAATATTAATTGTAATCAATAATAATAATCATATGTTTTATTTCCCATCCCATAGTCACCCGCCAACTGATCCACTGATTGTGATCACCCAGTGGTGGTCGCGTATGTCTTAACCCATCCATCGATACCACCGAAGAATATACCGTTTGTTATCTCAAGAGACACCACACATAACGGGTGGCCACTGATTGGCTAATCAATTGTGTCTGAAGCGTGCGTTCAGACCACTGGTGACAGCGGCTCATCAGTGGTAATGATGTCTACAACACCGATGCCTTTACCGAAGAAGAGTACGCCATCGAAGTCCACACCGAAGAGCGCGACCACACCGTCGCCGTCGACAACACCGACGGCCAGCGGCGGCGCGACTGTCGGCACACCTACTCGACGGTCGTCGTCGACGTCGGCCACCGCTTCCACGGCCGCCGCCAGCGATCAAAACGCTGATAGAAAGTCAATACTGGAAGTGACCGACAGTGACATCGACGAAGAGATGGCTAAAGACAATAACAATCTCCAGTCGGAGACCATCGATGGCTTCGACTTCGATACGCCCGAAGAGTTTTTGCTGT